AGGCAAACTTGGACTTCTGCACTAGGAGATTGCCTCAATTGATTGTATTCTACTTCAAGCAAACAGAACTTTGGTGCAGTCCTATTTATTTACAAAGATTCTACACAAATACTTGACTCTAGTAATCATTTCTCCTCTGAATAAAACAACCTTAGCAAGGCCCCAAATATTGGCTAATAGCTTGGGCTAACAGACAACAATTGTGACTATGAAGTAGACCGTAAAATTACCTATAAAAGACTGTAATATTTTTTCCCATGGCTATAATAGCAACATATTGAAAGTTACAAGAAAAAATAAGTTAAATCTAAACAAGCATGCAAAGTTTTCTGCAGTTTGTTTTAAGATATACATTCATTCTTGATTTACAGTGCTTTGTTTCTTCTTCTTAAAAGTGATATCTGAAGAACAAGAATTCTCAGTAAATAGACCAGTTACTTAAATGATGTTAGTGATGTTAGAATGATTAGGTCATATATATAAATGCAGAGGACCAATCCTGTGGATCATTCAGGCTTCTTAGGGTGGCCTGAATTTGCATAGCTTATTTCAAGTGTATTTTTTGGTGCAAAATTTCAAAATAAACTGCTATTCCGAAATGTCCCTTAATCCTCATGGAACAAGGTTTACAGGGACATCAGAATAATGAGCCTGTTAGTTCAAAAGCTATTTCGAAATAACATGCTTGTTTAAAAGACGTGGAATAGCTATTTCGGGATGCTGGAAGTATCCCAAAATAGTGCCGCAGTGTAGACGTACCCTTACTCTCATGGAGAAGTAGTCAGGCGTCCTTGGGCCTCTGATCCTAAAGCGATCATGCTGCTGCAATATGTGTAGCTTTCATCTAACGCCCTACTTATGTAATGTACTCAAGTGTGTACATAATTTTAAGGATGTAAGTAGTCTCATTGAAGTCAGTGGGATTACTCATGCTTAAAGGTATGCATATGTAGGTACCTTGCTGCACAATGGTCATTCCTTCCATCATGTTTCCATTGATCCTGTTCCTCTTTCTCTCTCCATTGCACAAATTCGCAGTAGCTCTTGTGGAGGTACTGGGCTTTTCATTCTCTCTTGTACATATGGGGTAAGGTGATGGCTCAGTCAGGATTCCAATATCCAATGCTTTTGGTAGAGGCCTTTGCTGTCCCAATTGCCCTGGTTATTGCTGGCTCAGTTGCAGTGATCCCTCTAATTTTTTCCATCTAAATGCAGAATAAATTTTGTTATGTGCACCAAAGCATGTGAGGACATGCACCTTCAATAGAAACACATAGTGCTGGCTGTGGGTGCTCTGCTGATCACCTGGATGGCACTTGAATCTCTCCTGGGTGGCCGCCCAAGTGCTCAGTCTACAGGGAACACTGCTCAGTGTAATCCCATTCAGAACTGTGGCTAGCCTCCTTTGTAAGGAGAGAGTGCTTCTCATCCCCTTCGGATCTCCTAGGAAAAGGTGGTGGTTCAGCCTCATCCCTCAGACTGGGATTTTCAGCCCCCAGCAATCTCAAACCATAATGGGCATTGTTGTGAGGGGTGGAGTCTCAGGCTTTGCTTTCTGTGAGAAGGAAAGGCGCTCCAAAACCTTTGAACAACACTCAGGCTCCTCTCCCATCAGGATTTGAATGTTGCTCTGTCCGCGAAGAAGCTTAACCTAATAGTTGAACATACTTTTTTCAAGTCTTTCTCTTCTTGCAGGTGAGATCATTTCAGCGTTGAGTGACACAGGACTTCTTAAAAGAACCATTGTTATATTCACAGCTGATCATGGAGAACTTGCTATGGAACATCAGCAGTTTTATAAAATGAGCATGTATGAAGCAAGTTCCCATGTTCCTCTTCTAGTTATGGGGCCAAGCATTAAAGTTAATCATCACTTATCAAATGTGGTATCTCTTGTGGATATTTATCCAACTATGCTTGGTAAGTAACTTGATATTGTTTGAAATAACGGAATCTTTAAGATTTGGGGTGAATTGGTGTGGTGATAGAAGTAGTATCGGTATATCTAGGATTCCCTTGTGATGTTAGATTTACTATCATAGTAAGATACTATGCCTGCTCTGAAAAGCTTACAGTCAGATTTACCATAACATCACCAGTGTGAGTCTCAAGGAAGGGGTTTGGGTGATACTAAGGAGGTTGAGGGGCTCAGAGCAAGGTGTGGAGGTACTGGAGTTAGGATTGGAGGTGTGAAGCACTCAGGGCAGAGGAGGTTTGTGGAGGGTTTATGGGGGGCTCAGGGCAGGAGTCAGAGTTAGAATGTGTGAGGAGGGGCAAAGGGCAGAGGGTTGGGATATTTTAGAGGGTGTGTGGGGGGCAAGGGTGCCATTTAGGAAGGACAGGAGAGGCTGAAGCGCCCCTTCAATATTCGTACCAGGATAATGCTTGCTTTTCCCCTTCCTCTATCAGGGAGCAGAAGGAAAGCACACAGCGTCCGTGACTTACTCCTCTGCCCCCCTCCCCTCACCAGCCAGGAGTGAAAGGAATGCAAGCAAGTTGTGTGCTTTCCCCTCACATCCTAATTGGGATGGGGAATAGCAAGCAGTGTCCTGGTATGAATCTTGTCTCTTATCACATAAAACCCATATTAAATATACAGTAGCAACCCAGTTTATACAGCAGTACACAGCATTTCTGCATCACAGGGTCCATACCCACTTCAACCTAAGTTGCCATAATGTGGCACATAAGACCTCCCCATTTTCTCATGCTTGATCATGTCCCATTCTTGGTGCTGAGTCATGCACTTTGTGGTTGCATATATCAAGCCAACAAATTAACTAGGGATGTAATAGAGTAGATGATTAAATGCTTAACTGATAAGCAAAAGCTGAACTATATTCAGTAACTAATCTCAGCCTCTGTCCGTGGGGAGCTCGAACCGCATGTGGACAGGGGCTGTTGCCAGACTAACCTCTCTGCCTGTGGCCAGCCCGGGCCACCACGTACAGAGGCTGCTTTGCTGCAGCATCCTCTCCTTCCCCCCCCGTGTATCAGAAGCAGCTGCACAGGGTGGCAGGCAGCCAGTCTGCATGGGAAGCTGGTTTTTAAACTGGCTCCCCTGGAGGACTAGCTCCTTCCTGCCACCTCACGTTCCTGCCTCTGATACAAAGGCAGTAGCGTAGGTTGGCAGGGGGCTCCCCAGGAGTGGGGATGAGAGCACACTGGCTTCCAGCCCTGCCCCTGGGGACTATTTAATAGTTATGTAACCACTAAGATTTCATGCAGTTACACAACTATTCAGTTACACTATATCTAACATCCCTAGTGCAAATTTTCCCTTTTAATTGGTCTCTGAAGAGACCCCATTCATGGGTGAGCAGATAGCTCAGTTTTCATGCTAAATGAATCCTGGGACTCTCTTTTGAGAGCTAATTGTAATAGCTTTTTTTGTTATCTGAACTGTTCTATTGTAGATACACGATGAGCCATTTTGCATTACATCACCAAACAGCCATTAGGTGATAATGATATTTCGTCACTTCCTGCGTCATCCATTTCTGTGATGTGATGGTTATTGAAGCATAGGAACCTATTTAATAGGGACTGATCTGAGACCACAAAGACCCTCAAAACAACCTTCAAATTATAACTTTTCTATCACTTTCACCTTGATTCAAATTCTAATGTAGGAATTAACTGACTGCTCACATAGTATAGTTGATCTACCATATAGTGAAGCCCTGTAGTGGTCTCTCTTCTTGCAACTCAATCCTATGACCAGGTCACACTTAGTCCCCCTCTTTCAAGGCAAAAGAACAAGAAATAGTCCCATGTTCTCACAAAGGCACTTAGACATGATTCTGAGCCTTATGGTCCTCACATCATTTTCTCAAAGCTCTCAGTCATCATTGGGGCTTCATGCCATTTTCTCTAGTGGCTGGTTTGAAAACCAACAATGTTGGTTTCCATCCCAGAAACCAAACTACCTGCAGCCAAGTTCTACTTCCAAACTCCTTGCTGCTTCCTCCCTACACTTCTTACCACAGCCTCTTTTTTTGGGTGTCTCTTCACAACCTCTCTAGGTTCACCCTTCTTTCAGGACCAAGTTTTGCAGAGCTCTCTCCCTTGGAATTTCCCAACTTAAATTAACTTATATCCCTCTTTGGCGTGATCTAACATCCATCATTGAACGCATATCCCCAGGATGTCTCCAGTCCTGCCCTTTTATCAAGGCACATCACTTGAGCTTGCTGCTCCATGTTACTCCAGTCCTTGCCTACTGTCAGACTTCCCTATTCCAGAGAGTCATGGGACCAACTTCCCCCCTGATCTTTCTACTTTACCTTCCCAGTCTCTCCACTCTCTAGTCCTAGAGGATGACTGCAGAGTTTCTCTCTGCAGCTCCCAGCTGACCTATATTTCCTTTATAGACATTTTGCAATTCCTTTCCTAGCTGGATTTCAGACATATTTAGGCCTGATCCACGATCCCAGTGCAGCCAGATAATAGTTTAATTGTGATCTCAGGCCAAAATCAACCCACTCGGGCCAAAATCAACTCTTTCAGAGCCAGGCTAGGGTTTATAGCATATTAGGAACCTGATTTAAAAGAGTTTATCTTCCCAATTTGATCCCAAAAATATACTAATAGATTTGAAATCTTTCCTTTATTGGTTGTGTCTGTTTCTCCCTCCAAATACTTTATAATTTGAATGTTTTAAAATCCTTCCTTTTAAGTCTCTTTTTGAAATTTGTATTTTTAAACCTCCTCCTTCCTGTTCTCTCACTCTCCTTCTGTTCTGCTAATTCCTCCTTCCTGTAATCAGTATGTCAAAAATAGAAACATAAATCAAGTGGAATTAAATTATTCAGGTGACTAAGAAAAAAAAGGAAGAAGCATCCCAGTCATCTTTTAACCTTTCCTGCTGTGTATTAATTCTGGCAAATGATGAAATAACCCATACGTCTTTGGCCATTACAAATGTAATTGTGTTGGCTTATATGTTCACAAGGAAATATTCTCTCTTCTCAAGACACCATCTTATCTAAATACTTCATTTGCTGAGAAACTGGAGATTCACTCCTTGCTTTCCCAACTGATTTGAGGATCAGCTGCCTATCATACAGGATGGTGAAAAGGGTCATGAACCTGACATAAACACTGTGGTGGGCATAATTTCCCTAAAATTGCTACTCTTATCTCCTCTTGTTAAAGGATGGAATATGTCCTTCCCTAAAGGTGGCATCAGCTTTGCTCGTCAGCATAGAAGTGGTTTGGGGGGGTGGTCCAACCACATTGGAGAGGCTAAAGCTATTGAAGATGTTAGCCTTGAACTGTCCTTGATCTTAAAAGGTGCACTGACTACAATCCCCACTCCTTGTGTAACCCACTCTCCTAGGCTGCGTCTATACTACAAGCCTCTTTCTTCTGCAAGAGGAAATGCAAATGGAGCACTCATTTGCATTTCCTCTTGCAGAAGCTTGTAATATAAATGCGGCCCTAGTGTGGTTCACTGTCTCATGTAGTGACACTTAGACCACGTACAGCAAGAGATAAGAACAAGGGAGTTCTATAGCCTACACTGAGAACCAGCTGGCTTTATAGCTCAAGCTGTAGCAGTTCCTGTATTAATATCCCAGGTTCAGATCTGCCTGGTGGTGGTTACACTTGCACTTGTAAGGGAGCAGGGTTTATCTTCTCTTATGCACCTGTTTATAGCTGGGCATAATCTGGCCCAAAGACTAGGTTTAACTAAGATAGCTACATAAAATTACTGGTTGTCATAAACTACTCTTTTCTTCCTACTACTAAGTCAAATGCTGCTTCCATGAAACTGTTCACCATAGTACAGGCCTGGGCAAAATACGGCCCACAGGCCAGATCTGGCCCCCCAAGCCACTGGATCCAGCCCACGGATGCTGCAGAGTGCCCCAGGCAGGCTCCTAATTTGCCTCGCCCAACCCGCACGCCTCTCAGAAGCTCGGTCACGAGGCAGTTTTTCTTTAAAAACTGTGAGTCCAGAGGGGAGGGGGGAAAGCTTTAGGAGCTGCTCCTGCCCCCAGCACAATCCCATTGGCCGGTTTCTGGCCAGTTTCAAGAACAGGCAGCCACCAGAGCCATGGCTGCAGCCTTGTGGGGACAGAGCAGGCAGGGAGGCTGATTCAGAAACGGTACTGGCTAGTAAGTCTCCTGACAGAGCCTACCTCTGGCACCCCAGTCCCTCCCTTCCCCAACCCTCTGCCCCCCACTCCATATACCCAAATCCTCTGCCTGCTTCCTGTACCCATAGCCCCTCCCAGATCTGGCACCCCAATCCCCTGCCCCAGATCACAGTCCCCTCCTGCCCTAGCTCACAAGCCAAATCCCTGCACCTCCTCCTGTACCCCAATTCCCTGACCTAGATCACAATCCAACCCCCTGCACCCCAGTCCAGTGCCCTAGGTCACAACTAACTCCTTCACTCCCTTTTGCAACCAACCTCCATCCCAGACCCCGCACCTCCACCATTAATATCCTGGAAGAGTGAAACCCTTGACCATTTTCCAAATACTTGGAGTGGCCCCCCCAATCCAAAATGATTGCCCACCCCTGCCATAGCAGGATGCTGGTCTATAGACTAATGCATAACTTACAGCATCAACTTAACAAAGCTAGGAGAAGAGAAGATGTTAGATGCTACTGAGAAAAAAAAAGTATCACCACCATGAGCTATATACATACAGTGAGTGCCATTAGTAAATGAAGTGACTATTCCATGTACCTGCAATAATCTGTGCATAGAACATGAAATAACACACCACTACAAGCTACCGCAAAATGGCAAACATGGAGTTATTAATGGCATGTTGAATACCAGGGTTGTGTGGTTCATCAGGGTTAGCCAGTGGTGGGCTGCCAGATAGTTTGTTTACCTAAGCATCCACAGGCACAGCTGCTTACAGCTCCCAGTGTGTGTCTAGACTACAGGGTTTTGTCAACAAAAGTGGACTTTTGTCGACAAAACTATACCTACATCTACACTGCTGCTGAGTTCTGTCGACATAATGTCAACAGAACTCAGCAGTTTTGTCGATGGCGGTAAACCTCATTCTGTGAGGAATAACGCCTTTTGTTGACAGAGTTCTGTCGACAGAAGGCGTTATTGCATCTACACTGTCCTTTGCGTCTACACTTTTATGTCGACAAAGCGGCTTGCTTTGTCGACAGAACTGGATGTAGTCTAGACGCTCTATGTCGACGTAAGTTTTGTCAACAGATTCTGTCGACAAAACTTATGTCGACATTAGCCTGTAGTCTAGACATACCCCAAAAGGCCACTTTAGTCGACAAAACCCTAAGAAGTAGTGGTCAAGCCCATCCCACTTCCCATAGCTCCCACAGCTGCCACACTCAGGTCACCCAGCTCTGAAGGCAGCAGCACAGAAGTAAGGGGGGGGTGCTAGCAGGTGGTGGCCTCAGAGTGTATTCCTGGCCAATAGCTGCTGCTCGCCAGCTGCCCAGCTCTGAAGGCTCTGAAGCATAGAAGTAAGGGCAGCAATACTGTATTCCCCCCTCCCAAAATAACGTTGTGACCCTCTGCAACTCCCTTTTGGGCTAGGACCTCCATTTGAGAAACACTGGTTTCCCCCCATGAAATTTGTATAGGTTAGGGTGGAAAAAAACCACAGAAAAGGCCAGAGATTGGGAGAGCAAAAACAAGATTTCATAGTCTGTGATGCATTTTTCGTGGTCATGAAATTGATAGGGCCCTACTCATAATTTAGTGTTTTGATACAATGTTCATTATCATTACTACAGATAATTAAAGGCTTAACTATGTTTATATCTTTGTTTAGATATAGCTAGAATTCCTGTCCCGCAGAATCTCAGTGGATATTCCTTGATACCATTGTTGGCTGAAATGGAAGAAGATGAAGTCTCATCGGGAAGGCTGCACCCTACATGGATCCTGAGCGAATTCCATGGTTGTAATGTGAATTCTTCTACCTATATGCTTCGAACTGACAAATGGAAATATATAGCATATTCAGATGGTCATTCAGTACCTCCCCAGCTCTTTGGTATGCTAGTCACTTTTCTTCCCTAGATATTTTTAATGGTTCTGTTTTTACCAAATCATATCTTGGCAAATTGCACTTAACTGGTTTTTGTTTGTTACAGACCTGTCTGCTGATCCAGATGAACTAACAAACATAGCAACAGCATTTCCAGAAGTCACACATTTCTTGGACAAAAAACTTCGCTCCATAATAAACTATCCAAGAGTCTCTGCCTTTGTGCACAAGTACAACAAGGAGCAATTTATCATCTGGAAACAAAATTTGGGACAGAATTATTCCAGTGTTATAGCTAATCTCAGATGGCATCAGGACTGGTTAAAAGAACCAAGGAAATATGAAAATGCAATTAACAGGTGGCTCCAAATGAACACTAATGAATGAAATAATTGCAGTAAGGGATTATTGACAGCCCTGATAGTAACAATTTCTATTAAATAAATGAGTACAAGGAAGGCCCTCAGGAAATGAAAATATACAGTTGTAACTACAACACTATGTAGTTCATCATAACATCAAAATTTGCTAAGTTAGCAATCCATGAAAATAAAGCTCACACAAGCTTTTATATCCTAGTTAGCAAATTAAATTTGTTTCTTATGTAATGACCATGAGGCCAAACCTACTTTCTGTCATGTAAAATTTCATATTTGTGGGAGTTAATCAACTTTTTAAAATATTATGGGAAGGAAAGTACATATATAATATTGTTTTGCATAAAATATTGTGTATTAAGAAAATACAGAATGCATTAGCAATGAATATTTAAGCAATAAAATTCAAATGAGATTTTGCGTGTGTAAAGTCTAATTAAAAATTAATAAAAACTCAGGATTTGACCCTGTAGGCCACAGATTATAGTGAAATATCCTAGCATCTACACAGATTTTAAAATAAGAATGAAAAAGTTTTCCTAACTCCATCCTTTTATAGCCACATACACACACACACACCGAATGAGTGTAATGTAGAGCATCAAAAAAGGGTAATAACTAGTGTTAATCTAAGCAGAAATTGTGAGGCTATGGTAGGCACCTGAACAGACTTTATATATTAACTAGGATATTACAATGAATTTTTATTTTCCAAAAAATAAAACAAAAATGTACATGATTCATTTAAATCATTGCTCTGGGGTGAGATCTAGGATGAGAGTTTCATTATATAGGCTGCCCCAGGGAGAGAGGACTATCTCAGCCCTCTCTCACAGCAGCTGCCTGGAGCCAGCACGCACAGCCAGGAGAGGGGTGAATGTCCACCAGCTGGGGAAGATCTGCCCCCTGCATTTCCCAACCAAAGTGAGGAATGCAGTAAATTGTTCACTTTCCCTTCACTCCCTGACAAAGGGGAACAGTCAGCAATGTTCCCATATGAATGGGGAAGGAGCTGCAGTCCCCCGCTTAAAGGGCATCGGAGTGTGTGAAGGAGGCTCGGAACGTGGGCACCGTCGGGAGGGTGCTCCCATCCAGCCCTTTTCACCTGCCTGGTGGTTGTCTCTTTTCAGTAAGGTTTTGAGAGAATGATTCCGTTCCAGGCACATCTCAAATATATAGTAGACTAGAAGACTTACTCAGCATTACTCAGGTCCTTCAGGGCAGTGGACTGTCAGGGTATGTCTACACTACAGCACTAATCCGAACTAACTTAATTCGAATTAATTAATTCGAACTAAGATAATTCGAACTAGTGCATCTAGACCTAAAAACTAGTTCGAATTAGCATTTTGCTAATTCGAACTAGCATGTCCACATTGAGTGGACCCTGAACCGAGGTTAAGGCTGGCCGGAAGCAGTGCCAGCAGGGCATCAGATTAGGACTTAGAGCGTAGAGCTGCTGTCTCAGGCTAGCCCGAGGGCTGTGCTTAAAGGGACCCAACCCCCACCCCGGACAGACAGTTCTCAGGGGTTCCCCGCTCACTTGTATAACTCGATGAGGGACAGCAAAGCAGTCCTGGCTTGGAGTGCCCTGAATGCCCACACTCGGCACATCACAACACTCGGCCATCAGCCCGGCTGCACTTGCCGCAGGCTGCCATCTGGGGGGGGCAATCGGGGGCTGCAGGAGAGCTTCAATCCCGAGGAGCCACCCCAGTCCTCCCCATCAGGGGCTCGTACCCCATTCCTCCCTCACCTCCTTCCACTTACCCCTCCCTAGCCCCCCTTCCTGGTGTACAAAATAAAGGACACGTGTGTTCAAAAATAGAAACTCTCTTTATTGAACAAAACTCGGGGAAACTGGGAAAAGGAGGTGGGAGGGGGAAGAGAGAGGGTGGGAGAGGGGAGGGCAACTAAAATGAT